AGAACATGAACAAAGTGGATTTCAATATCGTAAGCTTATAAACTAAAATGCTTGTTCCCCAAGGAAAAATGGTGAGCACGAGAGGGTCGGCAAAGGGTGCGATACCAGGGATCGAGGGGGGCTACAGACAGTGGCAAGGACACAGGAATAGGTCGGCAGGCTATGTTTCGCAGTTCTCCGGCTGGACAACGACTTTCTTTTTCTACAACTTCCCGGAAGAGCTGGAGGCAAAATTTCTATGGAACAGCTTTAGGATGTATGGAAAGGCTGTAGATGTGTATATCCCGAGCAAAAGAGATAAACGAGGGAAGAGGTTTGGGTTTGTGCGGATGGCAGGGGTAAAGAATGAGATCCAAATGGAGAGGCAGCTAAACATGATGTGGATTGGCTCATACAAACTGAAAGTGAAGATTGCAGATGATAGGGGAAAAAAACCAGCAGAGTCCAGGAAGATACAAGGAGCAGTAAAGGACAATGGATCATTGAGCAAAATGAATAGGTTAGTCCAACCAGGGAAATCATATGCTCAAGTAGTGAAGGGCAAGGGAAAGTGGGTTGAGAAGGTACAAATTCAACCTCAGGACAAGGACGAAGAAGATACTGCGGAGAAGGAAGATATTCAAAAAAGGGTAGTAGAGAATACGGTAGTGGTACATTTGCCTACGGGTGAAGAGTTGCAATGGCTAGAGGGCGGCATGGTGGCAGTGGTGAGATCGCTGGGTTTGATATCAGAGATTCAGGAACGTATTGGTGCAGATGGAGGCTTAATATCGTTAACACCAATAGGGGGAAGAAGGGTGTTATTATCTGAAAGAGTAGTAGGATATTTATCTGAAAGAGTAGTAGGATATTTATCTGAGTACATGAAGATTAATGAAGAATTGTTCGACCTGTGGTTTGAAGCAATAAACCCATGGGAGGCGGCACCGGAGGAGACGAGCCGGATGGTTTGGCTGCGGATATTGGGAGTGCCTCTAAAGGCATGGAGTGAGAGGTGCTTTCAGAAGATAGGAGAGACAGTCGGAGAAGTCCAAATGATCCATGAGGACACAAAGAATAAATCAATTCTTTGGGATGGAAGAGTATTGATCTTGTGCACAGAGGCCAGGAGAATTGCAAAAAGAATCAATTTGAAGGTAGGAGAACAGATGTATGAAATAGAGATTGCAGAGGAGGAGTGGCGGTCGGATCCGGACTGGTGGTTGACGGAGAACGACCGGAATAATGACCAGAAAACAGAGTCCGATGATATCTCCGATGAGTGGAGTCAGAATGAAGAGCAGGAAATGGGTGTGGACGTCATCTGTGACGACGATGATGTGAGTTCGGATTCAGTGCATTTAATGAAAGATATGGGTTTAATTTCAAATTTGAAGAAGGCAACGGGAAAAGAAAGATGGGGAAAAAATGAAACAGAGAGGGAGATTGGAGGGGACGAAGGAGATGGGCGGGCAAAGGAACACGGCCTTCAAAGGGTGAGGTCCATTGGGCTAGAAAAGTGGAGTGGGCCGGATAAAAACAATAAGGATGGTCGGCCAAAAGAAATAAGTTTAGAAGGGCCTATTTTAAAATCCCCAAACCCGGTAGCAGCATCAATATCGCAGAACCCAGAAAATAGACCATCAACGAACAAAAAGCAGCGTCTTCTCCAAATGTGCTACCCAGAAAGCATGGAGGAGATCTGGGCGAAGGGGACTGCGCTGGTGACACCCAGATCAAGACAGAGACAGATTCGAAGGGCGGATG